TGCTGATATTGGCTAACGACTTTTTTTCTATTTGGCGTTTTCATTTCTTTTAACTAGAGATATTTCTGATTTTAAAAAATCAATATTAAATAAAAATACAAAAGAAAAAATATATAAATCTACATTTATAATGAGTGTGTATTTATTTAGTGTGACTAATATACTGATCTCCTGAAGTCTTGCTTTTTCCTCCACAAGTGTGGGGACAAGTCTGGTTTGGAGTTCCTCTCATCGTAAATAATGTATATAAGTATCCCTGCGTCTTAGATGTTTATTTTATTTTTTTAAGAACATTTTATTTTATTATTATTATTTTATTCCCTCATTGTGATATTTTAGTTTGTTCTTATTTGCTGTATATTGTTTTGTTATTACCTTATTTATTTATGATTCTGTAAATATGGTGTGAATGTGCTGTCTGAAATCTATTGCAAGTGACCTTAATTGAGACGGATTGCAATATTTATCCAATAAACAAGTAAATATATATACTGAAAATCAGAGTTGATATGAAATGAAATTACCGCTAACAATAGTGATATGACTTTCAGGATTTTCCTAGTTGGTTTCATTTCGTCTGCAGCTCTAGTGCCCTCTTTCAATCTCCACTAGCTTCTAATATTAGTGATGTGGCTGGAAAAGTGGCACTGGGATTTCCTGGAGTCCTACTTTGCCTTCCAAAAGTGGAGGAAGAAGTCTGACTCGGAGATTTCTGGGCGAATGTATATATCTTGTATAGCTTAGAATGTGTTTAGAACTTCTTATTTTATTTTATCTGTTTATTTTTTCTTATGTGTTTACTTTTTTTTATCAGTATTATCTGTTTAATTTTTTATATTTATAATTATTTCTCTATTATTTTTATATATTGTAGCCCTTTGTAGAACTTTTAGACTTAATACTTATATCCCTCCAACAGTGGCTGATTGTATTGTTATTCAATAAATAAAGCAAAAAAATTGAGAGGAAATGTGAAGATTAGTGTTAAAATTATACTGCTTTTTCCTTTGATTTTCTACTTAAATATTATCTTTGATGCGCCTATATCTCAAGAACAGCATTTATTTGGCCTATAGTTGAAGAAAAGTATGAAATTCATTTCGATATCATCGAATAATTAAAATGATATACTAGATTGGTAAAAATCAAATTGATATCAAATGTAACAAGTTGTAAACATAGAAAAGAAAGGTTATATTTATACAATAGTAACATGACGTTAATTGTTATGGCTGGAAGTATAGTTCTTGAAGTATATATTATTATGAAAACAGTATGGAGCGGAATATCTCAGCGAGTAAGGCACTCGTAGCCCGTAGCCAATTCTAAATGGCATAGATTGGAAATCGGTTATGATATATAATTATTTATGGTTTTTTATAGGCTGAGGATCGACTCTTGGGTCGAATAAACCTCCTCGCCGATAACCAGCCTCTATAAAGTGGGCCTCCTTAATTAGTAAATTGATTATGAAGAATGCACTCTTGCTTAATCTCCACTGGGTTTAGCCCCAGTGACATGGTTTAGAGAGAAGTGCAGGGGTCTCCTGTAGTCATGCTTTCCCCTCCACAGTTGGAATGACAAGTCTGGTTTGGAGTTCTCTCGCCAGATTGTAAATATTGTATATAGGTATGTATGCGTTCTTTTTTAGGTTATTTATTTTTAGGTTATTTTATTCTTATTTATTGTATATATATTATTTTTCTTTATAATTTATTTTATTTATTGTACATAGAGTGTGAATGTGATCTGTGAAAGATTATGAAAAAAAAACCTGGTGGTTAAGCGTGATCTCGGGCCAATAATCTTCCTCTACAATGACTAGACTTGGAACACTACTTTCTTTTTTCTATGTAATCAATAGTAATGGAGCAAAAGCTGTTTAGAAACTATTTGGATGACTTTTTTTTATGATCAATTTCAAAAACAAAAATAATCCATTATATATAAATATTTTTTAAGCAATATTGTTTATTATTAATGTGTTGTGGCATGATGCTCCTGTAAGAGATATATTTAGTCTTATATTATTTTGCCCATCAGCTTGTCGTGGCATACAATATACTCTGTGGTAAGTCTTGCACTAACGGCTTGACAAGTAACGCATTTCCATTGTCACTCTCAGCTTAATAGTTTTCACCAACGTCCGTGGCTAGATAACCCTATCTTATGTTGTTTTCCACAATGTATAGTACAGCCTACATTTTTAACCTTATTGGAAAATTACAATTTTTACTCACTATCTTAATTTAACTGAGTAAAATATTTAATTCCTAATTTTAAATAAATTAGTAAACTTTAAGAAGGTTACGAAATTCTATAGAAAATAAATTATTTCTTAGTAGAGACCTATTTTTTTTTCATCCTCTTTCTGGTGTCTTTAAAATATATTACACCACACATCATCAGAATAATATATATTTTTTCAAAGATAAAAGCTTATTTCATCTTCTATTAAATATTTGAAAAATTTAGATTTTTTTAGGTATTGCAAATCATAATCTAAAAAAAAATCTACAAAAACTTAAATCTTAAAAATAGAAATATATTGCCAGCATTTTATCAAAAATTCGCATTACATAATATATTCATAAAGTTGGGAAGAAAAATACGATTCAATTGGTTAAAAAAATTCCATATTTATTTTCTCGTACTACACAACAAAAATACATATGAAAAAATATAAGCATTTAAGAAAGTAAAAAGTCCGACTTTTTAAAACCATTCTTAAGTCAAGAATGGCAGACTTTTTAACAAACTACTGAACCGATTTTTAGGGTAGATGGCTCAAATAACTTGCATTAAATCAGGATATTTTTTTTAGAAAAAAAACATAATTTGAGGTTAAAATACTATCTTATTTTCTTTTCTTTTGTTTTTGTAATCGAGAATAGTCAAATATGCAATTTGAAAATTTGAAACTCTACCGCACTTTCGTATTAGCTAATGGT